AGTCATTCATTATACTAGGGCAGCAGCACTTGCCTCACAAATTTGAGGCACTGGGTTCCATCCTTAGTTTCTACCATCACATGTAGGAGAATTAATTGTGAAAAAATAAGAAATAGTGAATTAAATACAATGTAATCCAATCTGAGTAGAAGTTATTATGTAGATCTGATCAGAATAAAACTTGTTATTGGTAGACTTCTGTATATTATGTGACAAAACTTTGAGCAATGCCAGATTTCCTACTTTAAGTAGCTGAATGTGTCTTTTTCTGAATGATTTCTAAGAGTTTCTGTAATGGGCCAGTATCTGAATTGGCTTCTTGTAGACATATGCTTGAGGACCCATGGCCTTAGATTGGAAGGGTCAGAGCACAGGAGATGGAGTAAGATATGGGATAAGATCATCAGAAGCCTCAGGTGACAGTCATGAATCCAGTAAAAAAAAAAGTAATATATACACATTAAGACTGAAAAATAAATGGATCATAAGACAAACCATAGTTAATGCAATATATTTCATTAATGGTTCTAGCCTTCATAGTTCAAATATGGGTATGCAATTTTAAATTTGCATTTGCTTTAGGTAGATTGGGCAACCTCCCTGAATAGATGATGTCAGATATTGACATTGTCCAAATGACACTAGGAATGATGGGATGCTACTTGTTCCTCCAAATATATCTAATCTCTGCTTGGACTTCCTGCCAGGAGTTCTTGATGAGGAGTTAAACAGCAGAACAGAAGTACACTTTTTATGACTATGTGAGTGAAATGAGTCAGGGAACACAAGGGAAACTGTATTCTGAGAAAGAGGAAAAACACTGGGAACCAATAAAGAAATGACAAGAAATGTTAATGATATGGAGAATCATTAAGGCAGCCCAGATAAAAGTATAAAGCAGTTTACAACTTCAACTCCAGCTGTAACCATGTAATGGATAACCATGGGAGAAACACATGGTTCTTACAAGTTTTAGAACAAGTTTTAGGAGATATTCCAAGAGGGACTCGTCCTGCACAACAAGACAGTCTTAGAGAAGGAGTCCATCACATTGCTCAGCAAGCTGTCAGAGTACTATAACCTGGGGTTATCTTGGGTCCTATTGTAGGGGATAAATTGTACTGGGATTATAAAATATGTTAATTGGGTCACCCTCCACAGTGATTGTGTGAAGGAAGAAAACCTACAGTCTCAGATAGAAAGACTGACTTCCACAAACACACTGACCTAGTGGTACAGAAGGGCCTAGAGGCCTCACTGACAAATGGTCTTTCTCTACATGAGGAGAGGTGATTCCAGTCTCATGTGGTTTCACATGCAAGTAATATTTGAGAGCTAAGAGACCACAACTGGTGATTAACCCCATTTCCATGACCCATCTCCAGAGTGGAGCTCACTGGTTTGATAGCTTACACCACTTTTTACAAGCATTCCAGGGATTCACCATGGCTAGAACAATGCAATCAAGATCTCAGTATTGTGTGCCCACCAGTTGGGTCCAGAACCTACTGAAGAAAGGGCTCGTGGTGACTTTGACTTTTGCCAAGCACCCTGATTTGCAAATAGAATTTGTCCAGCATGAATATGGCCTGCCCCATCAATATTCCCATAACTTCCATGGCAGGAAATGAGGATCTCAGTGCAGCCAGCATATCACACCATATCCTAGTTCATTTTGATGGGAACTCAAAGGAACTATGATTGGTTTCATTTTTAGGCAACCAGCCCTACATTCCTGGTGGATTCAAATGTTAAATGACCAAGAAAGGGATGTCTACATGCAAGTATTTTGTCTAGAAGGAATTTTTTATGAATTTTCATTTATGTGTATATATATATAAATTATATTTCCCTTACTACTCTGTATTTAATGCATTTTTAAATTCTTTAAATGGATTTTCTCTTCTTTCTCATCTTTTCTTAACATAATTAATAATGAATTAATTTCCTTTTATTAATCTACTTTCTCATTCTGTTTATTCTTTGCCTAACCTATTGTTACTATTTTAGTTGTTATTGAGTTTAATTGATTAATACTGTATTTATATAGCTGATTTATGCTTATGTGGTAGATACTGCTGTTTTTCACTTTCTTCTTTCTGAGTTATGTTGTTGATCAAGCCAAGAAACTTGAACAGGTTGAATGTGCTTTGCCACTGAGCTACACCACCAGACACTACAATGAGGATGGTACCTTATTTTAGCCACAACCTAGCCTGGCACAAGCCATGGTGGATGTTATGGTTTGGATGACAGATGTCCCCTGAAAGCTCTTGTTGGGACACTGCAAGAAGTTTTAGAAGAGAAATGACTGGGTTATGAATCTTAACCAAATCAGTGACTTAATCCCCTGGTGGGATTAACTAAGTGGTAATATTATTTTTGTCTTTGACTGACAGAGGAAACCACAGAGTTGAGTGTACTTGGAGTGGGGAGGACTATAATGGGGCATCATATTGACTAATTAGGGTAAGAAAAGCATGTGCATTCATGAAGAGAGTGGAAAACTGAAAAACTGATAGGGGAAAACATTTGGAAGGTGCATGAGAATGAAATATCTGGGAAAGGAGCATCAAGAATATTTGCCACAAGGAGAAGTAGCAATAGTCAGAGAAGAAACAATGCAACCAAGATCTCAAGCTGGACAGTTAGTGATGGTCAATAGTGTGGCCATAAAGTAGATGGGGTGTGAGGGATGCTTCAAGGGTAGAAAGTCAGGGATGGACAGGCCAGGATGTTATCTCAGTTGTCTTCAATTATCCTGGCAGCAGAACAGGAGAAAGAGGAGCCTGGGGAGACTGGTACTGCAAACTTCCTGGATAAGGGGGAGCAATCAGTCAGGAGAATGACAACAACAGAAGTGGTGGCACCAGCCATCTCAGGGAGCAAATTTCAAGTAGCTGGACATGGGTAAAAAAAAGAAAATAAATTATTGAAAATGACAAAGTAAAACAGGAATGGACTTATTCTAAGATTTGACTCAGAAATATCCCATTGAAAAGGAAGCACAGAGCCCTCCCAATAATAAGGACATCATTGTTCTCAGAGGACAGCCAGGTGTTTGTCAGAACATAAAACTAAATGGGACATTATAGGTCTTAAAATATTAGAAGATGATAGGCTCCAATTTCCAATGAGCCCCATGGAAGGTTTTCTGGGACAGGGATGAATGGGAATACTCGTTTGCAGTAGGATATGGATAAAGACTTAGAGGCAGTAGTATCAACCAAGACGACATGGCCTGAGAGGAGGTCAATTCAAGAGAAAAATAAGGGGAGACCAGGCCCCTTATTATACAGCAATTCCCCATAAAGTGCAGATGAAAAATAAATTAACAGCTTTTCAACAGGATTTTTATGCGACCCATGCCTTGGGGAGGACTCTAGATTTTATTATGCATCCAGGTAATCATGTATCTCTCTTCCTACCCTCCTCCTGCTTTGCTCATGATGGGATTTTATCAGTACCTCAAGGTCACCATGCTCTTCTTACCTCAATATTTACACTGACCCAATGTTCTGCTTTCTTTCTGCACTGGACCTCTAGTCGTTCTTTAGATTTCAACTTAAATATGATTTCTCTCTTCCTCAATGTACATATTTCCACAACACCTACACTACCTTCATGACACTCAGATTTAGGCATGGTGTGTTTCATTAGGCTGGAGTGCAAACTGCAGCGGTATTTCCTCCTTGCATTGGTCCTGCTTCCTGAAATTAAGTTTCTACCTATAAATCATTCAATTAACTTACCATCAACAAACTAACTGAGAGGTTTTCTGGTGGTGGATTTCAGAGTAAACATCCTACTTTATTAGATTCCCCAAGTTGCCATTCACGCAATTGAAATTGTGAGGAAGATGAAGTGTTTACTCCTAACCTCAATTTCCTCATGTGAAATAAATGATCACCATGGTACCTACCAAAAGTTGATTGTGTCTGTGGGAACAAAGTGAGAGCACATAGCAAACAACGTGTATAACTCAGGTCCAATCATTCACCCTCTCACTAAGGAAATACAGATTAACTAATATAACAAGACTGCATGAGGGCTGGGGATGTGGCTCAAGTGGTAGCATGCTTGCCTGGTATGCGTGGGGCTCTGGGTTCGATCCTCAACACCCCATAAAAATAAAATAAAGATATTGTGTCCACATCAAACTAAAAAATATTTTTTAAAAAAAGACTACATGAGCTAATTGCTAAGAATGTTCATCAGAGTACAACTTCATGCTCCCATATTCTCAGTTCAGAGTCTCTGGTTCTTTTCACATAAATTGCTGTTATTAATAGTTTCCTTACATCTGCCTTTGAAACCGGACTACGACAGGTGGATCAGGTAATCTCTATCCAGTATTCATTTTGTAGACTTATTTCGCCTCATCCATTACATTTGAATATGTGAACCTTTCCTAATAACAACCTATAGGCATAGGACAAACACATAGAAATAGCAAGTACATCACCTGTACATGTGATATGAACTTCCTCCTTTGCAGAGCAAGACTGGTGTTTCCAGGGGTCAGAAGGACACTGCCAGAGAGAGGTATCAGTTTTCCAACAGTGGATTCCATTTACCCAGTGGGGTCTAGCACCTTCTCTGGAAGGAATCAAGAAATCCAGAGTCCCTGTGTCCCCACAGCCAAGCTGTCTGCAGATAATGGACAAGGTCATAGTATCCATAGGACTGTGGCAGACACTGCCCCAGGTGTTGTTGTAGAAAACCTCCAGCCACCCAGCACACTCCTGGTCCTCACTCACCAACCTGAGGGCCAGAAACTCTGAAATGGAAGGGGAAACATCAGGGCTCAGTGAACATTGAAGTCTTATTGATGTTTTTTTCTTTATTTCTAAGCAGTGAATATTCATTGATAACTCTGCTAAAAAAGTGCCCACCAGGTGGAAAACTGGAAGTTATGTTCTTTAAACCTTTTTTCTAATGTGTACCTCTCTGTTTCTACAACAATATAATATTAGCAAATCAATAGGCAGGAACACTGACCTGGGACTCTGACTAGGAACATTGACCTGAACTCTTTATTTACTATCTGATGAACTACTTGATAGATTCTAGAAAAGGAACATGGACAGAGGGGTGGTAGAATAGTGGAGCTCCAAATATGTCCTCTCACTGATCCTGGGAGCCTGTGAATATTTTACCTTATTATAAAAGGGCTTGCCGACATGATTAAAAATAAATCTTTCATGGATTATCCTGGATAATTTCATGGATTAATAAGTGAGTGCAACATAATCATATCCTTAGACCTGTGCCCTCAAAAGCTGATAATTATTTCTGGCCCTCATCAGAGAAACATGTTGCTCAGTGTGTTGAAATGCTGTTGGTTTGAAGAAGGAAGGGGTCATGAGACAAGGAATTCAGGCAACTTCTAGAAAATGAAAATGGCAAGAAAAGAGTCTTCAGAGAGATTCAGCTGTTGCAGCCTGATGACACTTTGTTTATAGCCAAGACAGACCCAGGTCAGTCTTCTAAACTTCACATTGTAAGATGACATATATGTGTTGTTTTGAGTCTCTCAGTCTATACTACCTTGTTACCGCAGAAGTAGAAAACTAATGCAGTGTGTCAGAATGTCATACCCATAGGTAATAAAAGAGTGATGACTGCTTTAAATGGACACTATCAAGAATGACAGAAGACAAGATTAAGAAGGGAGGAATAGAAGCTCAGCTGCTGTAGCAGAAAATGGAAGCACCTCAACTTCTCTGCTGGAAGCACAAGGAGTATTCTTTTCCTCTGCCCTGTCCTGACTGCTGCCTTGGAGCTCAGACACCATCCTGCAGACCCTCCCCTTTCTCCTCCCACCTCTGCACAGTGTGCAGCACAGACCTGAGCAGATGACCCCTGCATCCTCCTTGTGACTGCAGTTGTGCTGCCCCCAGCCCTGGGAAGGGCACTGCCACACATGGGCCTCCTCTCCTGTGCAGTTCACTTCATCCAGCCAGATGGGTCCTGATCCCTCTCCAAAGTGGGCAGAGACAGTGGCCTCCAGGGCCACTCCACAGCCCAGCTGTCTGCACACCACATGGGCATCACTCAGGTCCCAGCTGTCATCACAGATGGAGCCCCAGGAGCCCTGCTGCAGGATCTCTACTCTCCCTGCGCAGTGACTGCCCCCGTCCACCAGGCGGAGCTGTCTGCTGTCTGAGGAGAGACAGGGTCATGTAAGTGGACATTTGCACAGGGAATGGGAAGGCTCAGGTGCTGGGGGCCTTGCTCACCTGAGCAGTTGGCAGTGTGGTCCTCTGAGGCTGCAGAGCCTGCTGGGTCAGACCAGGAGTCATTGCACTGGGGCAGCAGTTGGGTCTGGTTTCCTACAAAAGGGATTAGAAAGCAGGAAACTGATTTAAAGTACCTAATAATCTACTGATGACATCTGAGGTAAAAGCTATGACAAAGAAGCATCAATTTCCTTTCTTCAGAGCTGATTTTTTAATGGAGACTTCTACTTTTCATTATGCCAAAGTTTTTTTGTTTTAGGCCTATACTTTGAAATATATCAGTTGCTGTTGAGAGCATTGAATAGCTCCCAGGACAGCATGATTTTTGAAGTCAAGTTTAGAGAAAAGAAAAACTACAATCAGCTATATTGCCCTATAGGAATTTTTTATTCAAAGGTAGTAGGAGAAACTCTGAAATCTTAGCATGTTTGCCTGATTTCCCTGGGAATACACAAGTACAATTTAGTTTGGGCCAAAGAGGTAGAATTTTTTAAACATCTTGATAACTGATATCATATTTTATGAACTGAAAGTAGAGTTTTTCTTTTAGATGATTCCCAATATCTAACCACCTCAATCACTTTTATTTAAGGTGATCTACCCTAAATTAACTGCATGGATGTAGCAAAATACCTTGCTAAAAGTTTCATAGGATGTGCATCTTGCCCAAGAAATTATAAAAAATATCCATTAAATATTTGAGAGTTATGTATAATTTTAAAGTCAGAAACTAAAAATAAGAAACCAGTGGATAAGAGTAACAACACTGTAGATTAACACAAAATGAAAATAGTAAGTGGAAGAACATGGAAAATGCAGAATGACACACAGAAAAAAAAATAATAGGAAATACGATAGGGAACTAAGAGACCCGGTGAGAGACTCCTAATAGTCTACAAGTTTTAGTTAGTTAAAGCCACTATTTTTGTTTAAAAAAAAAAACTTGCCTCTTTTTAGTTATATGTAACAGAAGAATCCATTTTGGTATAATTATACAAGCATGGAATATACCTTATTGCAGTTATATTCTTATTGATTTACATATGGTGGGATTCACTGTGATGTTTTCATTCAGATTCATTCCACTGTCTTTCCTTTTCCTATTCCTCCTCTTCCCTCTATCTCTCATTGTCTACTATATTTCTATTTTCTTCCCCTCACTGCCACCTAACAAACCCCTTATTGCTTCCACAATTCAGAGAAAATATTTGAACTTTGGTTTGATAATGCAAGGTAGAAATTAGAAAATACATAAAGTGGAACATTCAATACACCTGTAGTGTTTAATAATATTCATAAATTCTGTGATACTCTATCCATTGACTTGTGCAGTCCATTACACCTTCCCTCCATTCTGGGCTGACAGTGGTGAGTTAGTTCTCTATAAGCAACAGAATGTAGTGAAGCCAGCAAGGCTTGAGTTAGGAACCTAGCTAAGAAAGTCATGCCTCCTCTTCTTGACTTAGTAGGATGTTTGCTTTGTGGGAAATCTATTCTGTAGACTATCATGTGGGAGAGAACATTTTTATGTGATTCTGTTGACAGCCTAAGTGAACATGAAGATACCAGCCATGTGAATAAAATATCCTGGATTCCCATCTTGGCCAAGCCTTCAAAAAACCTCAGTTCCAAAAGATATACAAGCACAACCTCATGAGAGACCCCAAGAAGCAACTGTCAAGAGCCTTTGCCAAATTCATGAGTCTTAAAATCATGAGAAAAATATAATGTATTTTACTTGAATTGACATCTCAGGGAGAAAATTTATTAAGCAGCAATAGCTGCCAAGATTACACTGACTATGAAACTCAGTAATCCTACATTCCCATGTTTGTTGTGGCACAATTTAGAATAACTATGGTATGGAATCACCCTAGCTGCTCACTGAAAGACACATTCATAAAGTATAAGTGCTATATGTATAGCCATAAAGAAGAACGAAATCTTGTCATTTGCATCAAAATGGATGGAACTGGAAGACATGGTGTCTTAAATAAGCCAGAAACAGAAAGACAAGAACCCATGTCCTCTCTGATATGTGCAAGCCAAAGGAGTCCATCAGAAAATAGAGAGGAGATTGCCACAGGGTGTAGGTAATAATTGTAGCACTAGATTTGTCCAATTTGGTATAGAAATTCTTGTGCATGAAGTTAAGAAAGACGTGTGTTTTGTGATTAATTTCTCTAACATATATAATTTAAATTTCTACTTTGAAAAAAAAGTCAAAGCCAATTTTCATTTCTGTAGAAGAGACTCAAACATCAATTTATAAGTTTTCTTATTACTTATTTTGCTTATTGCCATAGCTCAAAATGAGAACTTTTCATAAAATTATTAGCTTCTATTCTTCAAAAAATTCATTACAATAGGATACAAAGAACAATTAAAAGTGTTTCATAGTAAGAAACATAAATAAACGTGAGAACTGAATGCAGCACATTACCATACATTTTTTTTACTGTGAATAACATACTTAGTAAAATTAGTAAAAATATGAACAAGGCTAATACACTACATAATCATGCTACATCAAGTGGATTTATGGAATTTGCAAAGGCACTGTGTTTACATATGAAATTCTTGAAAATACTTTAGGAGTAATGGTACACATTACATTACCCACCTATTCTTAACTACTCATAAAGAAAGATTTGATAAATTTAGGCATAAATGGATCAGAAGCAGGTAACATAATACAATAGTGGCATTTGGAAATCTGGTTTAGAATTATCTAGCAATTTTATACTATCCTTGAAACTTTTTCAGAATTATCAATTTAACATTAATAAATAAAATTAAATGAAAAAAAGAAACACCAAACACCCTCCCACACACATATGAAAAATAAAGTTGAAAACAATTTAAAGTCATTCCTATAAAATTTCACCAAAATAAACATTAATAGCATCAAATGCAAAAACACCTAGGACTAAACATCATAAAGAATATGTATGATCTCTGAGAGAAATTAGAGATATCCTTTTTAAGTCAATTATCTCCATATTCATGTGTAGTCCAAATCCAAGGTCAACCTAAATAACATCATCCTTTTATTTGTAGTAAACATATAAAGTGGCTTCTAAAATATATGTGAAATGCATATGACCAAGCATAACTAATGCATTAGGCAAGAAAAACCACACAATTAGAGGATTTACTCTGAAGTAATCTTTAAAGGAAACTTACTGAGACATGCTATAAAGCCATAATAATTAAAGACATAAGACCTGCTGTAAGGATAAACAACAGAATTGAATGGAACAGAGTACAGAATGAGTAAAAAAATCTGCACCCTGTTTATTTTAAAGATGACCCTATGGTTGGGAAAAGTCTCTTCAGTAATGATGCTGAGACAATTCCCTGCCAAAACAATAATGTGTAAGTTTTCCTTACATTATACACACCCTTATAATATCAACCCCAGAAAGATTGTAAAATTATATTCAAAAGAAAAGGAACATGTATAACATACCCTGAGAGAATATGTTTATGCTGTTGTGGTAGAAAGTTTCTATTTAGGGTACAAAGAATGTTGATAAGCTGTGCTTCATTAAGAACTACATTTGACACCTGAAAGATTTCAACATTAAGAGAGTGAAAGTAAAAGGGCAAGGGTTAAAAATCTGATACAAATACATACATACCTACACTAGAAGCTATTACCATGAAAATATGT